ATCTGTTTCTTATTCATCTTTGAGCCTCCAAAGGCTAGCACATTCCTTAGAAGTCTGGGAACAAATATTTGTAGCATAAATTAATGCCTGTTTGACATCCCTTTTCAAATGTTGTGATTCAAATGAAGCTATTGTTGCAAGCTGTGCCTTCGGGACTGAACTTACACTTTGGCTAAACCAGAATGCCACAGTCATGGTCCCCATGACTGATTAGTGTTCACCACAATGACCACAACAACCCTAACAAACAGGCCACTGTTCTTGACTGACAGGTGTTTGGCAACAACTGCCAGTTCTCCAGTGTAGGCTGAAATGAACTGAGGAAGGACTGTCTGAACTGACAGTCCCCAGCCCAGTGGGGCTCTATTTATTCCTTGCAGTTTGGCTGCAAGAGTCAGTGACCCAGGCTTTGGCCTGACGTGAGACATGACTGCAGGGGATGGGTGGCAGTGAAGCTAAGGAGCTTTCCAGGGTGACAGAAACATTAATGCTTGGAACAAAATCATCAACAATCAGTATCACTGGAAAGCATTGTAATATCATTGGAAAGCATTGAGGCAGTGTGATAACAAGGGAAAGAGAGCTTTGAGGTTAGAAATACTGGGGTTTGGATCCTGACCAGCTATGTGATCTCACCCATGTATCTTTTTTTTTTTTTTTCTTTTTTCCGTGTCCAGCAACGGATCGCAACCCTCGGCGTTGCCCCGGCGCCTCGCTCAGCCAGTGAGCGGGAACCGGTCTGTATGTGGGATCCGAACCCTCGGGCGGGAGCGCTGCCGCGCTTCCCAAGCGGTGCACTTATCCAGTGCGCCACCGGGCCGGCCCCTTTTTTTTTTTTTTTTTTTTTTTTTTTAAAGATGACCGGTAAGGGGATCTTAACCTGTTATGGCCAACGTACAACGGGTGAAAGAAATTTGTCCATGAGAACCGGGTGATAGGAAAAGGAAAAGAGTTCATTTCTGGCAGCCAGGGCTATGCAGGCCAATGAAGTGCGCAGCCCTGAGTTGAAACCTCTCGCAGCTTTTATTTTTAGCTAGGCGGGAATTTTTCACACTTGACACAATCAAGCCAATGCAAGCAAGCCTGCGGTACATAAGCTAATTTTGTGGGTAGCCCTGTAGCCCCTCCTCACCCTGGATTCCCCATAGGGACTTTCCAAGCTAAAATGGAAGAGCCGCCTAAAATGGCATTGGCCATGCTACTCTGTTTATCCCCCCATTTATTTTAGCGAGCGATTTGTACAGAAGCAGAATGCATATATTAAGGTCAGTAGGGGTTGGGGCGTCCCTTAACAAACCCTTGACTTGGTGTTGTCAGCACCGTACTGTCCCGAGTGAGCCACAGGCCGGCCCTACCCATGTATCTTTTTTGAGCCTCAAGATTTCTCATTTTAAAAAATTTGCAAAACAATTCTGAAAATCAAAGATAATCTCTTTACATGCTTGTAATCTATTAAAATGTGTTTATTCGTCTGTTTTACCCAATTTATTTTGTTCTCTGAGGACAGTGACTTATTTTTGCCTCTATTTCCTGCAGAATAGTACACAGTAAACACTGGTAAATACTTTTAACAAAAGAACAAGAACAATAGCTAACATTTGTGAAGGATTTACTTCATACTAGATATTTTTATAAACAGTAATTCACTTAGTCCTCCAACAAACCTAAAAACTCAGTTTTACAGAGAGCTAAACATATTTTTTTTAACTATAAAAAAAAATTTTTTTTGGTGGCTGGCCAGTACAGGGATCTGAACCACTGACCTTAGTGTCTTAACACCAAACTTTAAACAACTGAGCTAATCAGCCAGCCCCTAAAATTCTTGATACAAATAATTTTTAAAATAAAAGTATGATGAGAATAATTCTATTCAATTAAAAAGGTAAAATACTTTATAAAACCTAAAAAAGAAAATATATGGTGGAGGGAGAAAGAAGAAAGGAAATAAATGTAAGAGTGGGAGAAAGAGTAGGAAGAAGAGAGATAGACATATGAAAAAAGAAGAAACAGAAAAGAGTAAATTTTGAGCGAAATGAAAAATAACTGCTTAATCAGAATAAGATATTGTTGTTGGGATCCCTGTACCGGGCAACTGTGAAAAGAAAAAAAAAAAAAAAAGATATTATGCACTATCATTATCCTTTAAAATAGTAATTAACCAATTAATCACTTTACCTAGTTCTCCAACTTTAATTTCTTTATCCTTAAATTTTATCCTTAATCTCTGAGACTAACAGAAGAAGAAAGACTTATCTTTCAGAGCATGACAAAAATTGGAGTTTTCATCTAGTAAAAAAAAATGGGGGCATGGGGGTGGTTCTGGCCAGTTAGCTCAGTTGGTTACAGTGCAGTGTCATAACATCAAGGTCCAGGGTTTGGATCCCTGTACCGGCCAGCCACCAAAAAAAAAAAAAAAGGTGGTGGGGAGATAAAAGTTATCTAAGTATCTCCACAAAAGTGAATGGCATTAGCAAAAATGAGAAAGCAAAGACCGTATTTGAAGAACATAAAATAGTATTTCCACAGCTGATGCTTAAAGTCCACATAGGGGACAGTGGAAAATGCTGCTGGAAGGCCTTGAATAGCAGGCTAAGGAGTCAGACATTATTCTGCAGGCAGTGGTTGCTGTTAAAGGAAACAGCAGTCGTAGCATGGAGCAAAATTTTCGAGTCCTGAGTTCAGAAGACCAGAATTATTGTGTGAGTGTGATATTGGGCAGTCCTTACCTTGATCCTGAGTTTCTTTATTTCTAAATTAGGAGTAATAAGGCAGTTGTGAGAATTAAAGAAGATCATATGACAGGGTGTGTTTGCTTTGAAAATGTACAAATAAGTTTTCGTTGTTGTAAGGATATAATAGATGTTTAAAGAAGGATCAGATTGGAGCTGGCTGGTTAGCCCAGTTGGTTAGAGTACAGTATTAGAACACCAAGTTCAAGGGTTCAGATCCCCAAACCAGCCAGTTGCCCTCCCCAAAAAAGAAAGGAATCATAAAATCACTAAGGTGATGGCTGTAAGATTAAAAAGGGAGCAATTTGAAGGACATTTTGAAAAAGAGAAGTTGGTTCAAAAGTTATTTACAAATTTTAAATTTAGTGATTAGGGAAAAGGAATAATAATCATAGAAACTGGGAAATCAGAGGGAAATGAGTTTGTTTTTAAACAAACATTTCAGATGTCCGAAGAACATCTGTTAGAAATGTAGAACTGGAACTTGAATAGGACATCATATTATGAACTCTTCATAGAGATGATAGTTGAAGCCATGGAGCAGAATAGGTGATCAATTGAGTTAAAAAGGAGGAAAAAAAAGGTCTACGTATCTTAGGAACATCTTTATTTAGGTAGAACAAGAACCTGAGTAAAGAGAACAATCAATTAGGAGCAACCAGTGAGAATATTACAGTTCCACAGTATTTAAGAAAGAGAATTTTTTTGAGATGGAGATGAACTACATGAGTCAGTCTAAATTAGTGAACATGTATTTGTTTAGGATGTGGTTAGAATGGTTTGGGGCCTTTATCTAGCCTTGGTGCAGGGATTAGACACTAGTAATGATGCTACTGATGCTGTTGTTTTAGACAACAGTTGATGAAAGGTTCGAAGGCATAGACAATAGGATTTTTTTTTTTTTTTTTTTTTTTAAAGATGACCGGTAAGGGGATCTTAACCCTTGACTTGGTGTTGTCAGCACCACGCTCAGCCAGTGAGCGAACCGGCCATCCCTATATGGGATCCGAACCCATGGCCTTGGTGTTATCAGCACCGCACTCTCCCGAGTGAGCCACGGGCCAGCCCTTTGTTTTGTTTTTGAGTGGCCCCGAGCTGTTCTTTTGGGCGAGGGGATTTGTCTCTGTGTGTATGTGCACACATATGTAATCTGAGTGGCTGTCTGGTCCTGTCTTAGGTTTTGTCCCATACATCTTTCATTTGTTTTTTGTTTCTGCATTTATGTATATTTTCTTAAGGAGTCTGTTCTGCATCATACTTTTTTTTTTGCTTGCCTCTCCACTCTAGCTTCTGGAAGGCAGCTTTGGCAGGCAGCTTTTCTTCTGCATAACCAAGCAGGCCGCAGCCAGCAGATGGCACTGAAGCAGATAGGGGCAGAGTCTCCTTAGGTCCTTAACAACCACTGAGGGAGGTACCTTACAATTTCAGCCACAGAGGACCCAGTGTTGCACTTTCGCCCGGACTCTAATAAAGCTGGCTGAGTTGTGTGCTAGTAAGGATTTCAATTTAGAAAATAGAATCTGTAGCTCTGTCTCCTCCACCCCACTCCCATTATTAGACTGACGATGTCTTTTGTCACGATGTCAAAGTGTCTTCAGAAAAGCGCTGTCCAGATACCGTTCATTTCTGGCTAAAGTGGCCAAGGTGACCCCAGCATCAATTAAATACAGGAGATAACTGAGACTCTCCTGATTGTCTAAAGAAAAGAAAATCTATACAAACAAAGAGGCAATTATCTGAATGTTTCCCGACAACGTTGGAGCGTTAGGATCAGAAATATGCGACTTGTTTTTATTATAAAGTTCCTTATTTCATTTCAAGTTCAGACGCAGCCTATTCACATTTCCATCAAGAGTAAGGAAGAGCCGCGAAGCAAGGGCAGTCCCGGAGACTAGGGGCTGCTTCTTGAACTCTGAACTCTGGTGTTGGGGTTCTATTAAAGCGGAAACTCGGGACAAGGGAAACCTCTCTCCATTGCAGGTGGCTGCTTACACACACACACACACACACACACACACACACACACACACACACACACACACCAGCCGCCACAAAGCCAAGTGTAAAACCTCAAGCCTGGATCACCCTAAAGAGACTTGGTTACCATGGCCACGTAAGAAGCCTCCCGGGGAGCGCTCTTCTCGCACTAGATAAGCACTCAAGCACCACCCACGCAGGTCCCCTAGCTCGGCGATCGGCTAGCCACGCCAGATTCCGCTCGGCGCTCGCTTCTCGGCCCTTGCGCCTGCGTACTACGGCTCCTGCCCGTCGCTGCGGCCCGGATCGGGAAGTGTCAACCGGGAACCGCGTTCCCCTTCGCCACTACCACCGCTGAACCCGGACCGCCGACTCAGGCTCGGGCCCAGCCGCCATGACGAACGGTGAGAACCGGAGCCCCGAGGGGAGGGTGGGAGTGCAGGATGAGGGGAAAACGTGGCGGGCGGAGCCGGGACTGACGTGGCTGTTCTCCCCGCCCCCTCCCAGCCCGGCCCCCCTTGGCCTCTCAGCGCCCCTAACTTCTGCTCCCTACACGCCTCCGCTGGTTCCCCTTTTCCATGCCAGTCTAGGACCCCCAGTGCCTCTCGTGCCACCCCTCGAGTCCTCTGTCTCTACCCTTTTCTCCTTTCTCTTTCCTAGAATTTCGTTCTGACTCTTGGGAGGCCAATTCCCACAGAACTACTTCTATTTAGCTCCAGGGGAGAGAGAGGCTCCTCCACCCAGCCCTCTTCGTTCTCGTACTTTAGGACTGTAGGCTTATTGAGAGGATCAAGAAATCACAGAGGACATCAAGTCCCACACTTTTGGGAGAAATGAATGTAGACACCCTAAAAAGTTCTCCTTGGCTGAAAAAAAGCCGGAAAGCCTTCTCTTGCTTGATCTTAAAGTCTTGGCTGGGTAATCCCATCTGGAGACCCTGGCCAGTGTTGCCAGGGGTAGATTTAAGTAGTGCTTCTCCTAAGTGATGTGGCAGTTAACACCCAGTTTATCTGGCTTAATTTTCTAGGCATCTTCAAACACTTTATAGCCATGATTTCCGAATTACAGGGGAGGGCAGGAAGCATAGGGCCTTTACGGTCTTAGAGTCAGCCTTACAGGAAGGAAGAAGAGAAAACTTCTTTAGTATGATTTGAGGGGCGCAGGAGAGCATTTCTCAAAAGTACCTGACCATAGGCTTGACACTGAAGACTCAAATTTCACCTCTTTGTGAATTTTGGCATTGTCTGCAAAAACTAATGGGGAAAAAGAGTAGCACGTAAAGCTATCATTCCTCATAAAAGCTTAGTGTGTGTATTTATTCACTGGATTCATGTGACACCTAGCCGTGAGATAGTTTTACCGGAGGAAGAGAGGTAGATAGTGTGGTCTAGAACTGGCAGACGCTGTTTGTGTACATTTGGAGCTTCCAGGCAGTCAGAGATCTCAGGATATTAGGCATAATAAGAGAACGGACATCACTCAGAGGAAAAAATCTGAACTAGGAAACGAGAGCAATCTGATACATAGTAATTGCTGAATAAATTTTAGTCAACCTAATCCCATTTTGTGGTCCAATATCTTATCTCTCTCTTTTTTTTTTTTTTTCCCCTTTTCGTCTTTTTTCGTGACCGGCAACGGATCGCAACCCTCAGTGTCGCGCCCGTACCGGAC